ATATTTATTTATACTTTATTTGTATGGATAAAATCAATACATATTATATAAGTAATAATATGTCAATACTTTATTCACATAAGTAAGGTATAAATGAACATTAAATTTATTTAAAGAAGAGGGTTAAATTACCTAAATTACTAAATTTATGAGGTTTATTTGTTTCAATAAAAATTTAAGTATTTAATCAAGAATTTAAAGTAAATTTAGGAGCTTAACATAGGATTTTACCAAAGTCTAATTTTTAAAAAATAATTGCTAAAAAGTCATCAAGATTTTTGTTTACATTTCTATAGATCTTGTGTAATCCTCATTCACCGTGGACTAAAAATGGAAATTATTTGGCTTGCCTTTACGTAACTTTGGGTTATGGGTTCAACTCTGCATATAACGAGTTTTCTCTAGATTTCCTTAATTTTTGTGTTGTGTTTAAATTAAAATATTTGTACTGTATACAACTTATATAGTATATATGTATCTACTCTCCAAAAAAATAAAAAAATAAAAAGTGTTTAAAATCTTGAATTCTTATAATATTGTCAAACCGGTAGGAATATTAGTCTAACCTTATGTTGATCTAAAGGATAGAGTCGCTCGATTTTTACCATTAGCAAAGCATTAACAGCCAAAATAAAGGAAGATTCAGTATTACTCGATTTTGTGGGCTTATATTGATTTTGTACAATGCCTACTTATAAAAGTTTAGTGAATTGCATACAGTGGCAGAGCCCAGATTTGTTGAGAGGGAGCCAAATTTGTTGAAAAAGGAAATGAGAGAAGGAAGCAGTATTTAGTAAGGACCAACACAAAATCTAATAAGGTTTTTTTTATAATTAGTGAATATTTTTTTAGAGGAAGGATTTACTTATATATAAATTTTATGAATAATTATTATTACACTCTCTGATTCAACATATTTATTAACATTCACTAAATCAACTAATAAAATTTTGTAAATTAAATTTTTCTCACCTTAAATTCAAAATTGAAAATAATAATTTATTAATAAGTGTATTGTAAAATACATTTAATCGAAAGGTATATCAATTATTATTTAAATTTTATATATAATACTTATACAAAATCTTGACTGTTTATCTCTTCATTTTTAATTGTTAAGATTAATTTATCATGATTTTTTAGATAAAAATAATTATTTTTAATAAATATAAATAAATCCCAACAATTAAAAATAAAAAGATAAAAAATTGAAATTTTATATAAATATAATATAAAAAAACTTATGTATAAGTGAATATTTACTCTTTATTTAGTTATTTTTTGTGAAAATAAATTAAAAATGAAAAATATTTAATATTTTTGTAATAGTAAATCACATCAATGACAAAAACAAAAGAAGAAAAATTAGGTCTAATCACTCAATAATTTATTTTGTATTAGGGGTAAAGTTTTTATTATTGATTAATTAATAAAAAATATTAAACAAGGCTTACAATTTAATATTTTAAAGTGGTTTTAAGTATCATAAAAAGAGTAATTTAGGGTTTTCAAGTAGACATGGGATGAGAAAGAGAGGAAAAAGGAGATGTGTTAGAAATTTATATATTTTTTTATCAAGTTTTTGTAAAAAATTTAAATTTTTTTTACCAATCATGAAGTTTAGAGATTAAAAAATATTTTTTATATTTAATATTCTGCTAATTGTCATGTTAATGTCGAGTTTAAATTTTACTATTCAAATTAATACAACAAGCAATTATATATGATTTTTTATCATCCAATGATGATTATTATTATAAAAATTAGGAATATTAGTTAAAATAAAATAAAATAATTTCTAAAAATAATGTCTTATACTAAAAAACTTGATGACTAGTGATAAAATTTTGTATAAAATTTTCAAATAATTGTGGTTGTATTGAATTTTTTTTTCAATAGTACAGGGGGCCACCGCCATGGTTGCATATTTATTGTGCCAAAAACAAGGACAGGAGGATAGTACAGGCCTGTACTCACATTCCCCACCAAAAGTAAACAAATAAATAAAAATAATTTTAAAACCTCAGTTTGTTTTTCGGTTTTATTATCTAGTCCTTTGAGAATTTATGTTATAAAGCTTACACCCTTGGAAATTTAATTTGACCCTTTAAAGTTTTACTCAAACTCGTTCTGTGCCCTAAAAGAATGGTTCAATCAATTAGGAGTATTAGACTTCAATTTAAAGATTTCAAACTTAAATATTAAGTCAGATGATGAAGAATTTAAAAAATGAAAGACCTATCTTTTTTTGTATAGCTTTAATTAAATGTTAAAAAAAATGCTTACACATATTAATTAATTGCCTAATTGGGTAGCCCATATTGGATGGTATGAAATGTTACTTTGTACCTTATGCAAAAGTATTACTCCCGTTATTGGTATTGTAAAGAATTGTATTTTAGTGAAACATAACCTTTATGAATACAATTAATTTACTTTGCATATTACTGAAATAACACTTTAATTATCACCCAAATGCAAATAATATATAGAAACCAAACCAATACAATTCAAGAGAAAATTCAACAGAAAGGCCGCCACACCTTTGATCTTGTAACATGGAAGTAGACCCTTGCCTATAGCATTATTCTAATGAAATAAATTATTTCAACTAGCACCAATATATCACCTTTAAGAGAAAATATATTAACTTAATTTACTTTTAATTATTCATGTTGACATAACAATAAACTAAAAAATTAATAATGGGATGCATAAATATACTATTAAAGGCGGAGGTGATCCAAGCATGATTTTCCATTGAGTTGATTCTTTTGTTGAATCATCAGGTACTCCTTATATGTGATTCCATGGTACGCTGGTAATTGACCTTCACGCGCCACCAGCTCCGGTGCAGGGCTCACGACGCTGTCCAGCGGCGGTCCATGTGCTGTTCCTACGGATATCCTCGTTGCTTTGCCGTTCACTACTGCCCTGTGCACTACGCTTTTATACTTCCCGTTGGTCAATATCTGAAAATCACATATTTGAAGACAATTAATTAATTAAAATAAAATATGTGATACTGGTATTAACATTAATATTAATTTTTTTTATAAATTTTAATAATTAAAAAATATAATAATTATATTTTTAATTTATAATTTAAGTATAAATTTAAAAAAAATTATAAATAACAAAAATTGTTAGTACTTTAATTAAACCATACAAAAAGACACTACATATAATTTTATTTTATTTATTTTGACAAAAAAAACTGTTCTTCATAAAATCTCTTTTTTTATTCTCTCAATTAATATGTAAATAATTATAATATAAAAAAAAAATCCTGTTCCCCTCATTTGTGGGGTCAGTGTCGTAAAATTATTATAAGAAAACAATTTTGCTATCCGACACAAAACAATGACCATTCATCGGTCTTGCTTCATCTATACTTTTCTTTCTCTGGATAAGTTTATCAATAATTATAAATTGTGCATCCACACTATTGCACAATTCTTTTTTTTTTAATTACTATAAGATACTCTAATAATTTCATTATACTTACTTACTACCCTGATCTTGTGCAAACCAATTGAAAAAACGAATTCCAAAAAAATTTAATATAAACTTTGTAAAACTTAAAAATATATAATAAAAGATCAATATTTAAAAAAAATTCGGAAATATGCGATGAGGAGCTATCACCATGAGGGCTACTGGGTCAGTCTGAGTCTAAGGCCCAGTAGGCCCCTATTCTGCAATAAGTCAACAAGGTCAACTCTAAAAAATGGGCCTATATGCGGTGGTATGCTAAGTAGGCACCTCCATATGATCTCCGATGTTAACGAGAAAAGCGTCGGGCAGGGGATCGACGGCAACCCACTTGCCGTCGTGCCTGATTTGAAGGCCTTTAAGTTCGTTCTGCATGAGGAGGGTAAGGAGGCCGTGATCAGAGTGCGGAGGCAGACCCATAGCCAGTTCCGGCTGCGGACACGGCGGGTACAGGTTAGCCACAAAAAGCTGATGGGAGACAGATCCTACTTCCATTTTCTTGTTTATATAGTTCTCTTCCAGCCCCAGGCTTTTTGAGATCCCTTTGAGCAACTCACTTGCGACTTGTCGAGTTCTTATGCAGTATTCATGCAAAATCTCCCTGTTTATGAGAATGAGACGGAAATTATTTTTTGAAAAGTAACAAACCGCAACACGACATGATAATGATTACAAAAACTTTCCAATAATTATATACAGAACTGATGTGGAAAATGATTCACGTTTTGATTATTAAAATAAAATCTTACTTTAAATATTAATAAAATTGTCATTAAGAAAAAAAATCTTCTAGTACATATAGCTAGGTAGGTATGTTTAAACTTGCAAGTTGATTTCTGTCCGGTCAATTTCAGGCCGGCAGCGTATGATATCATGTCTAGAAGGAAAAATTCTGTTGTATCCCCAGGATACCACGTTAGTGGTATCCCGGACCAATAAAAGCATGCCATCTCTACTCTTTTCGTGAAATGATTGATGAAGTGTGAAAAAAGAATGCTGAGATGGTGTATTTTTATTGGCTCGGAAACCACATCAATGGTATCTCGGCGATACAGCAGAATTCCTCATCTAGAAGAGCCTTAGATCACTGAGATATCTTCAAAAATGTCTGCACTGGTAATTTATCTGACGGCAAACCATGCATGATTTGGAACAAAAAGAAAAACTACCTGAAGCCAGAAGGGTTAGCAGGAGCATGGAAATTGGGATGAACATGGATCTTCAAATAATCCCTCCATAGAAGTACCTTATCAGCCTCCAAATTAAAACTCGTCCCCCACCTTATGGGATCAAACAGCTCCTTCCCTGAGTACTCCCGCTTCTCCTCCTCAGCCAATTGAAAGAAACCTTCGATTGCGCTTATCATTTTCTCTTGCAATGTGGCTGGTATGCCATGATTTGTTACCTATAACAAAAGATCCACACAAAGCAAAACAGAACCGATTTAGGGGTCAAAGTTAAAAGTTCAAATAACAATTCATCGATACATAAATATGGTTGTTAGGTGGAAAATTTGTTACCGTAAAGAATCCCCAATCCTGGCATGCATGGTGAAGGTCCTGGATGACTTTGGAGCGTTGATCTGGTGTACCGGTAGTCAGGAGGGAAAGGTCTATGGTTGGGATTGCTTCTGGTTCAGTGACAGTGAGGTGATCTTGATCAGGGTTTGTTCTGAAGATGTACTGGGGAGGAACCGAAGTGAGTTGTCCTGATTCAACCAGGCCTTTGACACACGACATTTTTGCAAAACTCAAGATGAGTGGGTGGAAACTGGAAAGGAACTCGGTTGGTTCTAAAGAAAAGTTTATTGTTTGCTTAAATAATGTGTAATGATCTATATATAATGTTCTATATTTATAAATGTTTATAAAAAAAATATTTTAAAATATAAAATATATAAAAAAATATTTTAAAAAATAAAATATTTAAAATAATTTTAAATATAATTATATTCACGTATTACTACTATGATATAAAATGAGTGGCCTTTATATTGGATTTTTTTTTAATTTTTCTCGAAGATTAGTAAGACTCTTTTTTTACAGCAAATTCATTATTGAGAAAAAGAAAATTTTTAATTAAAAATATTAAAATATTTAATTATAATTATTAAATATATAAAATATTATATAAATTTTAATTTTATTAAATTTATTATGTGATTATTATTAAGTATTTTAATTTTTAAAATTTTTTAATTAAAAATATGTTTAATTAAAAAAAAAAAAGGAGAGACGAATATGAATGGACGTCCAACTCAAATAACATGGTCACCGGGAGCAAGATAAAGCCAACGTCAACATACGTAGCCGGTACACCCATATTCCAAGCACTGAAAAGAACCTAACCCAAAAAGAAACAGTGAAAAGAACCCAACCTAAACAGAAACGGTGAGACCACCAAACTAAAAATCAAAATGTTGGAAAACCACCGATCTTCTGGGCCAACTGGTTAAATGCTAGCCACGAAGGTGCACCTCCCAGCATTATATATGAAAAAGACAACAACATGTACAGGCAACATAAATTGCTTTATACTTTTTTTTCTTCAAGGTTAAATGTAATTTTAGTCCTTAAATTTTTAATGTTAAACTATTTTTTCCATATATATTTTAGTTTTCAAACTCTTTTTTTTTTTTTTCATCCCTAATTTATAAAAAATGTACTTTTTAAAGTCTTTTGTTAGTTAATTTTT